AACTGATTATGCAGTCACTGTATAATAAATCGTCCGATTATTGAGGACACAAGTAGATCACCTCAGGTAGAATAGTTAATGAAAAAGTACAGGTATCCGTTGTAGGTTAACTGGTAGGTTTGAAATCGCAGTGAAAAATAAACTGCTACTTCTACTAGGGACTTCCAGAACATGACTACTTCCCTATCTGCTGTCTTTATTGGTCAGGAGAAGACTGTATTCCATCCGAATAATGCCACCATTTACAACTCAAATTTGATCAGAAGTTGGCTTAGCAAAGATACTCCGTAAGTCTTCAGGTGCCACTTTTGAAATCAGTGATTTCATTACGTACGAAAATTACATAGGGTAAGGAAATGCGCGCTAAGTTTCGCAATGGCTGCTGTGGAGCTCTAAAGTGCTAGAAACCTGTCCCCAGCGGTATTCAGTGTGACTACTGCGAACATTAGTACCACCCAGGGTGTGCCTTCATAGACCGTAGAGCCTACAAAACTTACGTGGAAAACGACGCCTTGCAGTGAATCTGCTACATATGCTTAGTCTTAGCGGAGGGGGGCCGGTCGTGAAACCCCTGTAAATGTGGGCAATACCGGAATTAAAATCTAGAACTCATTAGATTAGCAGTTCAAACTGAAGAACATCATAAAGGAGCCAGAATCGAAAGTTACCACTCTAGAAAGGGAGCTGTCGCTTCTCAAGAAAGAGGACGAAATCGCTCTGGGACGAAACAGAAATGTCCTCATTTATAACAATGACGAACCGTTTATACGAAACGCGAAAGCCAGTGCAGACATAGAACAAACGAAAGTGCGGGACCTCATGAGACTTACTGGACTACCCCCGCATGCGCTCATTAATAGAGTGCAGAGGATCGGCCGCTGGACCAATCCATTGGGCAGTCTAAAGCAGAGAAAAGCAAGGCCTGTCCTTATCGATTTCGGCAATCCCGCAGTTCGGACCAAATACTTAGTAACTGCGAGAAAATAGAGCTTGCCACTGGGGGAAAGTATCAGATCTCACTTAATATCCAAAAACAGGGGGCATGGTACACCTCAGAGTAGGGTCAAGTAACCGCGATAGCAAGAGTAGGGCAACCTGAAGGGCTATTCTCAAGGTATTAGTCGCTAACGTCTATCCTGAAAATGTCCTGTTAGGAAACCGGAGCACCAATGCAAGCTGAGCTACGCAGCGGCGGTTTCCTCGACTCCTATGGGATCGAAACTGTTGGTACCTGTTAGACCAAAACCTGTAAGGAAGCAGAAAACCGAAAGCAGCCAAAGGCTTAAGCACAACCGGCGGTTCAGAGGGCAAACTCCCTAGTGTTAAGCTCATTAGGAGCCAAACTCAACTTCCGTTTGTGCAAATAAATGTAGGAAAGACTTTGAGGCGACCGCTCAGAGTTACGCTTAGTACAGAAAAACACACAGGTAGGGCCCAAGGAGAAACCGAAGCGGAAGAAAGCGCTACCTATTCTCCCAAACGAAATCGTGGATCAGACGCTGACACCGATTGCAACCTCAAGGTCTACTGGCATCCCAGAATCTAGAAAGGCCGAAATAGATGTCAGGGGACATACCACGGACAAAGGGAGGCACGATCGACTTTCAGTTGCAAAAGAAACTGAAGATAAGAGCGGCTCGATGACTAATAATGGGGTTATCAAAAAGCTTCAAGCCCTACCAGGGTAAGTGTAATATTTGGAATGGGAATCCAAGTCGAATAGCGAGAACTAGGAATCGGACGGAAAACCCACCGAATGGCACAGTCAGTTAGAACCAAGATGAGCCGTGGATACCGTTAATTCTATTCAGAAAATCATGCGAATATATCGCACAAGAAACAAACAATCATTGGTCGATTCTTCAACGTCCAATAGACAAGGATACGGTTTATTTTTCTACTTTCTTGCACTCAGTTAATCCGGTTGGTGCCAATTAATACCGCAGGATTGGTGGGTTATTCCTTTTCTTGATTGGTTACCTGGAAGTTGGGTGGGTGCGTATTCTTTACAAGATCAACACAACTTTCCTCCTTCAAGAGTGCCTCATCAACTTGACTTGCTTCGTGTCGTGAGCTCCTTAGCGTTGCACTAGTCAAGGCTTCCGATTCCGCCGGTTGTACTGCACCTTTTTGTTCAACATTATGACATTATGGAACCGTAGCGTTAGATTCAGGGGGTTCAGAATTGCTAGGGTTTTCCTCTTCCTCATGGAGTTCTGATGCACCGACAGTTCGTTTGTCTCTGAAAGTATCTGATTGATGTGCCATCGGTAGACAGATGTCAAGTGACCACGATTGTACGAAGAAAAGGAGCAATCCACGAGGAGGTTTTCCGTTCATATTTTCTTCACAATCANNNTTTACTTCCGCTTGTTTTACTGAGCAAGGTTTTCCGCTCAGGTGTATATAAAAGCTGGGTCCTGTTCAAACCCACGCAACACGCGTGTGATACGCTTTCGCTTTGCTACTGCATTTATTGCTTGCATTGTTTAGTCGTCACATAGGCACGTTTCGGTACTATCTAGTACCACAATTTGCCAATGTACGTCTACGACCCCCACGAGTGATTTTGTCTACCTCGAGCAACGAGACACTAGGGGGTCGCACGCACCTTGAGACTCGTAAGAAGACTTACCGGCAGGCCGTCAACTCCGGTTAGCTTCAGATGCATCTGTAAAATCGGTTATCTCCACCATGGGCTGACCCAGGCTTCAGTGATGATGCCACGAACCGGGCGCAGACCGTTGCCCCTAGTGTATGTCACATAAGTCTCAGGGAAGACATCAGACACCATGACTTAAACAGCTTTGCTGGACTTTTCTTGGTAGTCGCATGTGTCGCGTTTCAGTATTCCAGTTTGAAGTTGTCTAGAAACGCTTCCAAGGTCGTAACTGATTTCTGATTCGCGGATGCCAGCGCACTCTTGACTGTTTTCACAAGATTCTCAGCCTGATCATTAGTACTGGGATGTCTTGGGGCTGTATGTCAATGTTGACATCCAATGCTGTCGAGCCGAGCTTTCACCTCTGTGGCTCCAAATAGAGATGCATTTTCTGTGGTATACCTTCCCGATTGAAGCACTTACGGGGAGCCTGGATCATGAAGAAAGTTGTTAGAATATATTTAGGAAATACCTTCAGTATTATTCAATGAGAACCAAAGCAAAGTATCTGTAACATGAAAAAAGACTGGAAGTTCCTCTCAATTACCTTGCATTTCCTTACCTTTCCGCGCTACTCTATCGTGCATTCTTTCTCAGAGTGGTTCTTATGTTGATGAATTTGCTATTCTGAACCTTATAATTCACCTTTTTTACGGCGAAGCATATTTATTGAACATGCGCTTTAAGTGCTTTGTGTCTATATGCAACTGGGACCGAATGCTGGTTCTTGTTTTAATACAACCTCAGTTTCAATTGGACGCTCCTTTTTGGACTAACCATTGTTTTCGGTTATATTGAACTCCTTCCGGCTGTAACGCTCAATATTATTTTGCTTAATCTGTTGAAGGGTGCGCAATTTTTCCATAGGTCAGGTATTTTCTGATCGGTAATTCAACTCACTAATTTTCCGGTTTTCTTTTTATTATCACAGATGTTTTTGGTTATTTGTAACGTTTTGGCTGGATGGTG